ACACGTCACAGCTGCTTTGGGGGTTTTATGTATGTAAATCATAGAATCACAGATTGGTTTGGCTTGGAGAGGACCTTAAAGACCATCTTGTACCACTCCCCTGCCACAGGCAGGGACACCTTCCAGGGACACCAGGTTGCTCCAAGCCCTTGAACCCTTCCAGGGATGAGGCAGCCACAACTTCTCTGGGCAACCTGTGCCAGGGCCTCACCACCCTCACAGCCAAGAATTTCTTCCTAATATCTAATAAACCACTTCTTTCCTGACACCATGCTTCATTAACTTGGAAATTACTGTTTTCCTGTATTTAACTTTTAGGAGTCAGCTTTTTAATGTTATTTTAAAATATAAACAGGTTGCAACAGACATGGATGATCTGGGTATCATTTTATGTGATCTCCCACAGTCACTTAGAGAAAAGCCTACATGGGAAACAACAACTATTTTGAAGCAAAATGTAAGTATTTTAATTGTTGACTACTGATTATTTGTAGGAATCTTGAGCCTCCTAAAATACATTATGGATTTCTGATCCCTCCTTTATGAGCTCAGTGCTAATAAAATATATAGTAATGACTTATCATGAGAACTGAAATCCTTGCAGAAAAGGAATATTGGAAAATGCCTCTGGCACCTCCCCTTTTCAACAATGTAAAGGAACTGTGACTGATGTTTCTTGATGCTGTTGTGATGCAAGAACCCCAAAAACATGAGATGAATGCACCCTATTAAACGTGCCACCCACACATCCTCCAGGTGACCATCAAAACTAAGCCTTAAAGGAAATCCCCCAAAGCAAATGCCTGGAGGTGCAATAACTCTTCCCTCAAAGAGCTGTGGGGGCCAGCTTGCTGGAGGATTTCTCTGAACAAATTCCTCACCTTTCCTTCTATCTTAAATGAATATAACTATTAAGAACTCACACTGAAAAGGTATTTCAAATAAGTGCATGTTAAAATCTTCATTCTGCTGGAATCAGAGTGGCCCACAGGGAGACCGAGAGCCAAAAGCAAATGTTGCCTACACGTTCCTCTGTAAAATGGGGACTATTTGACTATTTGAACTTGAGAAACAAACAGGATGGTTGCAATGGATTCTACAGCTTCTCCTCCCAGCACATTTACCTGTCTGGAATCCTTTGCTTCACTGCTCTACATTTAGATTATTCGTTCTTCTTCCCCAATAAAACAACTTAAATACAAACAAATACAGTAGTAGATA